AATATGTAGCAAATATGAAAATTAATAATAAAGTTTTAATTTTGTTTAAATCTGGTCTTTTGTTAGTTTCCTTTTGAGCATAACTACAAGTATTTCCTCATTTTCAAACCATTTTAACTAACTTTTTAATTCAAAACAATAAACTTTGAACCTCAACAATACAATTTGGATTTACATTGTTTTCTTCTCCATCATTTTCTTCATCTAAATCTGCATCTTCTAAATTTTTATTTAATTCAAATTCAGAATCATATACTTCTTGATTCTCGTAATCTTATACGTATCATACTTTTTTTCTGATTCTAGAGTTTCATCTATTTTGTCTTTTTCTTCGTTTACTTTTTTAGGCTGCTTTACTAATGATTGTACAGTTAAATTTAAATTTTTTAATAATTTAATATTTTTAAATTATGACAGAAGCAAGAGAATTTTACTTCAAAATCAATCAAGACAGCTTTCACAATGTCGGATCCATTATCTGCAGTTGCTGCAACTATTTTGTTAAATATCATCAATTTAAACAATTCATTTTTTAATGAAGATTTTTCAGCTCAGAGAAAATTGAACATGTCACTAAATGATGAGACATGATGTCTTAGAGTCATCATCATACGTAGCATCAGAATCTAGCTCTTGAATCTTATTTCCTTCTTTTACTTCTTCGGCTTCTGATTCTTTTTGCGCACGTGGCGCGCTGAGGCAGTTGTTGTTGTTCTCTTGTGGTCTACATTTTCATATACTAAATTGGTACCAGCATGTTTATTATTAGTTTGTGTACTCTCTGTTTTTCCTGCTCTTTTAGAGCGCGTTATCGTTCTGTCATTTTGTTCCTTTCAAACCTTAACTTTTAAATTGTTTTCACTCATTTTATTTATTCTTTTTTAATGGAATGTTTCTTTAATCGTTTTTTTTTTTAATTTTAATTTCTTTTATTTTCACATATTCATATATACTAGTGGATTGTTGATGTTTTTGTTCAAGCACATATGATCAAGGAAGATTTTTAGAAGTCTTCCTCAAACTCATTTTAATGGGGTTGCATTCAGTTTTCCTTTATGAATAGGAAGTGAAATCACTACTGTTTTTGGCATTATGTAAGATCAAAAATAATTTAATAAGGTTTCCTTAAACACATTAAAGAGAAATTTAGTATTTTATTCTATTATTCTAATAAATTATTGTAAGTGAGATCGCAGTTCATTTGACATCTGAAATATATTTATTTTGTATTCGATTTAAAAAGAAAATAATGATTAAAAAATACTTGAATTTTCAAAATACCAACATTTGTTTGTTTATTTTATAATTTTTTTTTTTTTTGCTCTGCCGTATAAGAACTCTTTAAAATTTAATAAATAGTTAAGTTTCATTTAAGTACATAATTAAAAAAAAAAAATTTAAGCAGCGGTAATAAGTATATTTGTTTTTTAAAATTAACAAATAAACCATTTTTATGTATAAGCATGCTAATAGTGATTGGAAAGTGTAGGGTCGAATTTAATTGATAGTAATATATTTTTATTATCATGTTAAAACTTAAAGAAAGTGAATACTTTTTAAATACTTTCCACTTTCCAGAAATTGGAATTAAATTAAGTTCAATCTATTTCCACTTCCTGGAAGTTAGAAACTCATTAAAATTGACCCTTTTTTTATGTCAAATAAATTGTATAAATGAAACAATT